ACAGGGGTGCTTGGAGTTATACGCTTTACAAGTATTGTTTCATCATGTCGTACAGAATAATGAGTGGAATTGCAAGTTTCTTAATAGATGGCCATGTATAACAATAATTAATAATGGATAGAATATACTATAAGCTGCAAGAATATTGGAAAGGTAACGGTGCAATAAACAAAACTAGCTGAAGCAGCTGAGGTATCTAAACATGTTGCAAAGAAAGAAGCAGCATAGCAAATATACTTGCCGGCCTGGCGATATATGCCGAGGAAAAAGTTTGATAATTCCATAACTAATCAAGTTCATCAGGCTGACCTCTTGTTACTTCCACATAAGGAAAGACACAAAACATATAAATATGCTTTAACTGGAGTAGATGTAGCTAGTCAATACAAAGAGGCCAAACCATTAAACTCAAAAGATTCAACTGAAGCAGCTAATGCACTGGATCGCTTATATAACACTGACCCTTAAAATGGTCTAAGTTATTTTATGTAGATCCTGGACGCCAGTTTATGAGATCAGTAACTAAACTATTAATAAAACATGATGTTTACAATCAGGCATGGCGAAAAAGATCCAAGCTGTTGTTGAAAGGTTTAACCAAACATAATCAGAACGCTTGTTTGGGTATCCGTGAGTGAGTATGGTTTTATGCTGCTTTTAGCAATATTCCAGCAATATCACGGCAGGGGACACCAAAACTGGGCTTCACACATTGTACCCATGTCGGGAATTGAACCTGAGTCTTCGGCGTGATGAGCAAACGTTTTAACCACTCGGCTGACCTGTTTGGGTATCAATATGCTCAGGAGAAGGTGATAAGTGATAAAAGATCAACTGAATGGGCGACGGGATTATTAGCTGTTGTATCAGCCATAAATAATGAAGTAACAAGATTGATTAGTAAGAAATCATCCAAAGCCATTAAAATGAAATGTGATTCTGAATCTTCAGTGCCACAGAGAGGAAAAGAACAAAAATCTGTTCATACTTCATATGCCTTTGTACAACATACTTCATAACACCTTTAGCTTTTCTATCTCATTGTTATCAGACTTCTTTCTAGAATACATTTGGTCTTAATACAACATCCTCGGCAATAAGAGTTCCATTTCAACCATCCTCCTTGAAGATTCCAAAGCTGTATTGGAGGGCCCATCTCTTAGATGGCTTAAAAAACAGGAACATCAACATTGCAGTATTTTTATACTTCACTTTTATGTTTCGCCGATGGATCTTGCAACAAAATTCCACAAATTATGTCATCGGGTATTGTGACGTTTTTGTAAACTTTGAGGTGCAAGGCCCGTTCCACAAGGCGATCGTATTATAGTGCAACAACAGTCGTTAGTCTTAGTGAAAGTATGTGAGTTGCGATAGTCTTAGCCCTACGATAATTTTGTGAATTCTAAAAGGTGGACTGTTTTATAGTATTAAATTCATATGTTTCAACTTTTGACGTGTTTGAAGTATTATTCTGTTAAACTCAATTGGACTATGCCGTGGATCGTGTAGGTGTCAGCCTATTCATACTCAACAGTATAATTCAAAAAACATTATAAATGGCAAGAAAGAAATAAAATACTAAACTTGCTCCCGTGTAAAACCAATTTTATTCACTCGTTTCGTAAAATTGGTATTACCGATTACACAAGAGCTCGTTTAGCATTCTATATATATCCTGCACTTGATTACATATCTGAATAGATGGATACTGTTGATGGATTTCGATTATGTTAAATAAGTGAAATAAAACATCAACTAGAGAAAAGGAGCGTGATTCTCCAATTGGATTATAGGAAAAGTATCGCAGAGCTGTGAATGATCTTGATGGAGTTGACACTGCACTTATAGCAACTAACATGGGGCTTGTTGCAGATGGTGTTGGCTTATTATCAACTATAACTGCTGCACCTATCACACTTGGCATGGAAGTAGCAGCGGGATTCTCTGGACTGGCAGGAATAGCTCTTATATTTATTTCTCGCCAGATGCGAAAGAAAGCATTAAAAATTATAGTATTCATGTGCTGGCTGAAGCGAAGTCAAATAGCATTGAGGATCATATCTCAGCAGCACTAGCTGATTGCAAGATATCTGAGGAAGAATATCCTTAAGTGTTGTCCGAACTCATCAAATACAACATAATGAAACAAGAGATGCGATCAAACTCTCAGAAGACGTGTGGCATTAGTGAAGATGAGAAAAAAGTTCCTGAACAGGGGAGACTACAAGCGCACCAAAACCAGAGAACTGGTAGGAGATTAAGAATAAATTCTTTCCTCGATATAGGGTGGCATCTTCATATATGGAGATCATTGGATAGTCATCACATAATTGGACCATGGTAAAACTTAAGACCTCCATGGAAGCATTTTCAGGAGCCAGGCCTGGTCCAGGTAGGTTGCCCCAGTACCTCCATCGTCTACACTACTACACTGCATTCAATAATAATAACTAAGCATTAAAATCCTCTTTCTCTGTTTGGGTCCTGTTATTTTATCAGTGAAATACAAGTCACCTCTACATAACTACAACAGCATGAATTATGGAATTATAACTTGCAATTTTGGAATTTTTATGGACATTTGCTGCAGACTTAGGGCTGAATATTCACCTCTGAGCAAGTCTAGATAAATTCCTACATAGTGTATTTCATTGCAGTAAAAATAAATCTGAAACATGCGTAAAATCTACATCATGATTGAAACCGTAAGCAGCAGGAGAAAATGATTGTGTATATTTTTATTCAACTGACCTTCACCTCAAAGAAAATACCAAATATGTTCATGGTTAACCAATGACATCAATACTCTCGACCACCTTGAACAAAGGATGGGTTCCCTGACCAGCAGGACACAGTATTTTCAGAGGACTCTCTTTGCTTCAGGAATCTATACATAAATGAGTCATGTAAGTAATCAGAAACAATTTGCATGAGAAATTCAGGGATGTATGGACTGTATCACAGCTGCGTGTGAAATAAATATGATGTAATAAGTGTCTCATAACTGGCATACGCTAAACGTGATTTTGTATTTAGAATTGACTTTCACTTGGTGTGAGTTCATTGGAATATGAACCTAAATAGAGTGAGGGCCAAATTGTATGAATTGATTGTAGCCCCTTTTTTATCTCGACACAAATTTATTTATCGACTATACTAGCGTGACTTCATGTTTCCACTGACAGCCATATAACAACCAGCTGTATCGTGGAATGAAGTAGTCCCTCAAAAGGAGCAGTGACATGAACGTATTCATGCTCACATTGTTCCACAGTGACATTTTTTAACTTTGTTTACAACAAATATATATTCAAATATTATCATCATTAGATGAGATATGTCAGTTTAGAACTACCCTAGTAAGTCAATCACAATGACAGCACCTCTTAACACATTTACATCAAGTACAGGATGTCAAAATGGCCAACATGATAAACGTGACGGGAAAGATTTCCGAAGTTGTTACTGAACCTGTGGTGATAACAAACATTTGTCATCATTGTTCAATTGGTCGATCATGGAAAGGTGACTGTAAAGATGTGTCAAATAGATACTAAGAGAAACATAGACTGGTGTAGACTGTCACTGTCACTCTAGACACAGATCCAGTCAATACTACGATGGATGTGCATTTCTTTGTTTTGTTTACTAGGAGGGGCTGAAGCCTGGACTATCTGAATTTTCTCAATGTATACTTAAATGCTTTGTTTATGATTAAAGGGCCTAAAGAGTAAAAAACAATGCTTCTGTATTTATTGCTGCTAAGGAATTCTCAGGGTTTTCCCCAGGAATGTGGAAGTAGGCCGTCAGTGTTTACGGCATTTCAAGAATAGACTCTCGTGAAAAACTCATGAATGTGAAAGTGTGTCGTTCATACACTTATGAACATCAGTTTCGCTGTCATGTCAACGATCTCTCATCCTGCGGAAAAGTTCTAGATCTATATCTTGCAAACTTCGCATTAAAAAATTATAACACTATAAAGTTCACTTCGGCTTTTGAGTTTGCTTAATTTAGAAAACAAAGCGATTCTCGATTTTTTCAAAATGATCATGAGCAATCACAGATATTTGTGATTTATCAAATCACCAAAGTGAATTTTCCGAGTTAATATCAAATATTTAGATCTAGATCTACACCAAATAACACTATAAATGGTAAATTAGTAAAATGAATTGAAAACAGTGAAGTGTATTTGTGTGCATGATATATGTTGAATTTTATAGAAGAGACACATATAGGCCTAGATCTATGTCACTGTGGTATTCAGGCATGATTATGATCCCAAATGTGCACAGAATGTTATTTATTGAATGAACATCTGCGAAAGGTGTGCAGTGTTGAAGGTGAATGACGAATTTGACAACTCTCTCAGTAGCCTAGGCCTAGTAAAACAACATGAGCAATGTTGTTGAAGCTCAAGTTCGCGGCATTTGATTTTGGAATCGTCAACTAGACCTAGCCTAAATATTAACTGCCAAACTCGCTCCAGAGCCTTTTAAACCTAAAGAACACTGGGTTCGTTTATAGTGTTTCTACATAAAGATGTTTAAAAACAATTATAAGCAAGTGAGACAGCAACCATTCAAAGACGTGATTAACCACGCCCAACCATCTTATCCAAAAACTGCTGCGATGGGAACAAAGCCTTGCAGTGATCGGTGTACCGACTGGCCAAGCCCCAAGACAATGCGATGTTACCAGTAAGATAATCCCGTTAAATTTTACTGAATAAATTCCCGACCCGACTACACACAAGAAATGTCGCCAAAGCGAGAACTGAACTATACAACTTTACGATTACAGTGCACAGCCGTGTATTTTTCCCGTCCAGATATTTGTAAAAACATCATCAAAACAATCTGGCACGTGACTCACTGCCAGTGCATGCACCGCTGCCCGTGCATAATGTGCACGCACAAAAGGGGGAATGCACGACGAGTGATATGGGAAATGTCCAAATAGAAATCGTAGGCAAAGCATGGAATTGTACCAACCTTCAACTTGTGCAACACACGCTCCAAAAGAAACCCTTGTAGATATCACCGTGAATAGGTCATGGCGCGAATTTCTCAGCCAAGAGTTTCGAATTACACAAGGTTGATGGAAAAACGAGAATCTCCCTGCGGAAAAAGAATTGATGTCCGACGAACACCTCCAACCAAGTTCAAAATAATAATTCCATATGAATGAAAGAAAACACACACTTTAGACCTTTTTCAACCAACATAAACTTGATTGACGATGAGGTTATTCCTGTACAAAATGAATGCTGTTCCAAAGCTGTTGTAGGCCTATATGGTGATAATTCGCTAGCTCTCGCAGGGCTCTCTGGACGTTGCCGCGTTGGAGGATATTGGTCGAAATCGCAGAGCAGAAAGCATTCCAAGACTGGCGTTCTCATTTAAAGGCAGTCACGTGACAATCAATCCCACCGAGGACTATCGTGACAATATTATTGCTTCAGCTAGTTGTGGATTTATTTAAACACGCCCCACAGTCATTTGAAGTCGTTCGATTCTGCTATGAATAACAGCAAATTGCTTTATTTTTGGCAGTAGGTAACTGTTTTATATATATTTATATAGAAAAAGCACAGTAAAGTTCTAACTCTAAGGCACAATATAGTAATAATTAATTAAGTGGAGTAAGATTGAACACAGTTTTAATTGGCCAGCGCTTTCAACTCGTACCACGTATGAGTCTCATCAGGCCATAGCTGAATAACGGATGACGATCAAAAGTCCAAAGATGAGCTGTATAATTTACTCAACCGGTGATTTTCAAGAGTATTTATATATAGAGAGAGCTTCTACAGACATAATATAATCGAGCTATATCCATTTACAATGTACGACTACCGTTCAATAGATCGAGGGTCCCATGCATGAGCGTGACGCACCCGACCAATTCGCAACTTTCAATTTGATTTAACATAAAAGGACAAGTGTTGTGAAAAGAAGTCAGCTAGTTTAAACTATCTGATCAGATATCTAGACTTTCTTGTGATGATCCGGTTGTACGTGCCATCAGTGTCCCCTCCGAAGCGTATATTTGGCACTGTTTCGGCAGTTGTTTGTTCACGACTGCACGACCAGATCACTCAAATTGAACATATCCAATACAAATCATTCGAAAACTCCGTAGAAGTGTGCCTGATTTCTGATTATGTGGCCAAAAATATCCCAAATGTGAACAATAACATTCGTTCAAGGCCGTAGTTAACTTTGTACAAGTATCACTTGTCCCCAACTTGATTCAAATAAAACTTTTTTCTGTACAAAATCCAGGGGGGGGGGGGACATCACACAAAGTTTTGTAACTACGTTTCTGAAACGTCGGTGAAACGTTATAGAGTTTGCTTCTCGATAGTCATAAAGGAATAGAACTGGTTTATCAAAATCAACATGAACTTGTCAGAATACCAAGGCAGTAATGCATTACCTTTCTTTATATTCGGCATTTGAATTTTCATCTCTTAATACTAAAATTTCCAGAACGTAATTGCGTATCTCTATGACACCGTTAGTATTACGTTACATTGTAACGTTATTCCACAACGTAACAACAACGTTGCAAATTAACGTTGTGATAACACTTTTTGTAAATGATGTTTAGGAAACCACTTGTCGATCTACCATCTCTACTAAATGTTGTCACAAGCAATATTACAGTTAAAAACAATTGGCGCGCATTTTTTGCGACGTGAGAGCGACTGCTGAAAAGTTTAACCTGTTGCCTCGTGAAGTGACGTCAGAATGACGTCACATTGTCGCGGAAGATGTGTTGTCACCAGCTATCTTAGTTCACTCTGGACATATTACAACCAAGTGATTGTGCAGCATTTGGAACTAAACAGATGATCTGTGAATTCGGATGAGGTAAGTTAATTTTTCAAAAGCAGTCTCCGCTTGTTGATGTGTTTCTGTACATGCAGAAAGTCAAATGATTTAAATGTGTCGTATTATTCAGAAGTGGCGGGGTTTTGAATGCAGTTTGCCGGTCACTTTCACTGAGCGTCAGTGTTGATATTAATTTTTGATACACAGAACATGATGTATATAGATATGAAGAAGGCCAAGGCTTTTTTTCATATTAGTATTTTATGGATACCAAAGGTAATTACCAAGCTTGCCCTAGGGCAAGCAGTATATGTTTGACCAGAATTCAGTCTGGCGGGGTTTTGTGGCCGTCATATTTGTTCGGGTTTTGATCGTAAGCGTATAGGTCTGTAAATAGGCCTAACTTATGCATCGCCTACTGACCACTGACAGTTATCGCCATTCCGGCCTACCTTTAGAATACAGTACCACAAACTTTTCAAACACGTGATCATACCCTATGATGTAATTTGTAGTATTTTGTTGCCAGTCACACCGGCGAAACAATGCCCAGTGACGTTAGGGGTCATCGAGTGCGCATAAGCTCCTCCCAGTGATCTATCATCTCTACACGCAATGTCATTGAATACGCCCTGCGGTGTTGAGAGTTTTGAGTATTTGTTTACTAATTAAAACCTGCGGCGGCGCATTTTAGAGCAAGCGCTAGTTTACGAAAGCACTTTTATTTTTTATATATTTTTTATTTCGTTTTTCTCGTAATTGAAGTGGATAAAATGGTTATAAATGGGAACTAATATACATATATTATTTTTTCGGTTCATTAATTTTCATTATTATGCACAAGAATGCAGTTTATTAGGGATATTATATTGGCGCTGAACACATCCAAATGTCGCCAGTTTTAGGGTAGGTTACCCCGAACTCTCTATCCTTAGCCCTTGGATCCCCGTTACGATCAATCACCCCCTTTACGATCATTAGGGTTAGGAACCCGTTTAGTTGCTATTAGATTACCCGAAGTCTATCCTTAACCCTTGGATCCCCTTGACGATCATTAGGGTTAGGTACTCGTTTAGTGGCTATTATAGATTGTATTGACCTTTTTCACACTTTCGCCATCTTGGATCGAAAACGAGGCTTGGAGAGCATAGCTCCATGCAGTGAGAGTCGCATCAGCTCATAGGGAACAGACAGCATGTTGTGCATTTCACTGATGGACATTTTAAACAAACAAAAAATGGTATCCTCTGTATCTAATACAGAAGATATTTCATATTAAATCATGAGGTCCAACTAAAATATGCCTGTAATACACTGGAATTAGCATTTTGCTGTCAGGATCCCGGAAGTGAATCGAAAGGTGCATTTCGAGATACGTATTTCAGAAATAGATTGTTTTATCATAACCTCGTCGGCATATAGATACAATGTGACAGTACATTCAATGACAGAAGTTTTGTATCGTAAATAAACCGCATAACATGAAACATGTCAGTGTACTTTTGCAAAATTGCTCAGTCAATGCGTGGCTTGGCGAACTCTAGATCAAGATTGAGATCATGTTTATTTCACGTTTCATAGTGGTGTTTGCCATGAGTCCAGTTGACAAAAGACACTTTTTCTGCTAAGATTTTCATTTTAACATATTACAATGTTAATTATGAAAATAATTCGTGTGTCAAAATAAATATTCAGAAGGGGCGATAACTCTATTCAGTGTGTACAATGACAGATGATACTTTCAAACATCACTTACTTAACTGATTATTGCCGATTGAGATTGCACCGTGCACGACAAAAGTAATAATGTGTGAACTGTTTAAAATAAGTTAAAGGGAAACTAAAAATTGATAAATATAAATAATGTATGAAATTGAGTGAGTGAGTGAGTATGGTTTTACGCCGCTTTTAGCAATATTCCAGGAACATCACGGCGGGGGACACCAGAAATGGGCTTCACACATTGTACCCATGTCGGGAATCGAACCCGGGTCTTCGGCGTGACGAGCGAACGCTTTAACCACCAGGCTACCCGACCGCCCCGTATGAAATTGAAGAAATATAAGAATTGATACAACTACCAACTTCTTGAACACCCTCACCTAATCCTGTATGATGATAGGTAATTGTATATCAAAAGGAAGCTACTAATACATTTATCCTGATTAGTTTGAAAATGTCTTGATCAGATATGAGTACAGATAAAATAATAAAAGATATAAAGGAATCAACTTCAATTGGTAATCAAGCCAAGATAAAATATATGTATCGGTACAAATTATGTTGATGGAACAATCTGGATTTCTCATATTTAACAAAGAAAAACAAACCAAAATTTTCATATCTTTATTTCTCACAATATAAGTTTTCAAAACTTAACATGGACTGTTGTCTTTGTCAGTCAAAAGCACCTAATTAGATTCCAGGAGAAAATAAGTTTCTTGCTTGTAAACAAATGGTACAATGTGCTTTTTCAGTGTCCGATAAATATTGGCCATGTTGATTTGTGAGTGAATAAGGCTTTTCACTTCCTCGTCCTATTTAAGTGAAATATGACAGGAAGCACATTTGTTGATTAAAGATTATGGCTTTTGACTTCCTTGTCCTTTGACAGGACGCACATTGTAACCATTGTGTTACTGTCAGCAGAAAGCTCCTCCAGACATCCGTCACCAGATACTAGTACTTCATTGTGTTGACTCGCTGGCCTGAAATGAATAATTCAATAATATTGTAATAATATTCCTACTTCAATAAAAATTTTTATAAACAATGCATATTCACCTTCTCCCAAAATATTGCTTATTTAGAAAACAACATTCTTCTGAAATAGAGACGTTTAAGGAAATTTAATCACAGTGTGTAACATTACATGCTACTTAATAACAATCTTGAAGGCATCAATTCATCTGTTTCATGTGCTATCCAGCCTTCAACTTCTGCTCTCCAAGCCTCGCTTTCAAACCGGAAGTAGCGAAGTGTGAAAAAGGTCAATAGCGGCTCCTAATATTCTTCACACAAAAACGTCGAGTAAAAAGGATGAAATGGTTTTGTGTCGAATATTTTGGCTACTGGAAACTGTCCTGGAACATTCACAAAAGCCACTTTCACCGGCTACATTTTTTCAGTACTGATTCAAAAGCGAACTCACCGTTGTGTCGTCACTAGTCATGCTTATTCCTCCATTGTTCCTTACTATTATTCACATCATCCTTACAGTGTTCCCTACCACACTTTTCTGTCACAAAAATCACCCGACGAATTATTAAATACCATATCATTCATGCGTACTCGCGAGATCGACGTCTGACGTCTGACGCCTGGGCCGTTTTCAGTTCGCGGCATATCGGCTCATTCCCCACCACTCGGTATCTTGTAGATTACGGAATGGGACGAGTGTGCCAAATGGCATCGGCATCATCGTAAGTGTCCGTAGACTAAAGTCGCGAGACACTGGCGAGACACCATGCCTACCCGTAACCTTCGTAAGTGTCCGTTACCTATTCGACCCTTTTCGTTCAGTT